CCCTCCTCCGGTCCCTCTCCCTCCGCAGCGGCCAGCTACATGCGCGCCGCAGCATGAGCAAGCACCTCAGAGCGCGTGACGAACACGTCTCCCTCCTCGAGCAGCTGCGCCACCTTTGCGCCCTTCCACTCTCCATTGGCGTCTGTCCAGTAGGCACGTCGAATGCCTGCCCAGCGACACCATTGCAGGCATCTGTTTCCCGCACGACGAGGCCCGAGAGAAAGGGTCAGCGAAGGTGCCAGAAGAGGGGCACGCTGTGACGAGAAGGCAGCGCGGGGAGGAAACTCACCGCCAGCAAGGTCTAGAATCGGCGTACCCGACCTTCTCTTCACCCTCGCTCTGCCCCATCGTCGTGGCAGCAGCGGGCACAGCATACAAGCCCTTGCGCAGCGCCGCGCGCGAAGCGGCGTCCTGCTGCAGGCGCACCACGTAGATGTCTGCGCCGCGCAGGCGCGCATTGACAGAGTGCGACTCGGCGGCGCTGCTGCGGCGAGAAGATGGCGCGCCTTGTTGCGAGGACTGATGATGATGATGCGAGGAAGACGCGGGCGGAGAACTCGCGGCGGCCTTGCGAGACCTCTTGCTGCGTCTCGAAGAGGACTCGGACGCGGCAGGCACGAAGCGCAGCTGCTGCCTCTCACGCGCCGACGAGGCCGACGACGCCCTGCTGCCCTGCGTGCCACTGCCACTGCCGCTCCCGCACGTACTGCGTGCCTCGCTTTCCGAGTCCGTCGCGGGTCCGCTTGCTGATGCTGCTGCCCGCAGCTGCGCCGCATTTGACGCCCTCTTTGCCCCGCCCGCCAGCTTTGCGTTTCGTCGCCGAGCTCTGACGAGGGCCCTGTTTAAAGCGCCACGCGTCGTTGGAGGGGCGCGTAGTGCAGTGCTTCGAGGCGCATCCCCCTTCTCCGCCTCCTGCTGATGACCCTCCACCGCTGGTATTGCTACTGCGACTTGACAGCGCGTCTTCGCTGTGCTCGCCATCGCCATCGCCATTGACGTCGACGTGGCAGATGCACGCCGCGACGCGAGAGGAGGGCGAGGGATGATGGCCTTGTTCGCGCGCTGCGAGACTCTTGAGCAGGGCCAACTCGGCGGGTAGGCTGCTGCTGCGCTGCTGCTGGACGTGCTGCTGGGCGTGCTGCTGGCCGTGCTGGGCGTGCGGCTTGCGTGCGGCCTCGGCTGCTGCTGCTGCTGCTGCACTAGCGCCGCACCCGTCGAGTGTTTCTTCTTCTTCTTCCAGCGAGCCTTCTCGTTGGTCGTGCCTTTCGACGCTGCTCGGCGCTGCGCTGCCGCATTCCCCGCACGACTCAAGCGGCGCGCAGAGCGCAGTGCCGCTGCTCAGGTGGCTCGAAGAGGCGGAGGAGGAGGCGCAAGAGGAGGAGGAGAAGGGAGTGCCGCCGCCGCCGCCGCTGCTGCTACTGCTACTGCCACTGCGGCCAGAAAGCGCAAGCGCCAGCCTTGAGTCCGTCAAGTCGAAGTTCGCCTGGATTGCGCAGCAAGGCGCGAGACCCGATCGTGGAGATAGAGAGCGTCAGTGCATCTGTCGCTCACCCGCCTTGCCGCTACACCGATCCCCCCCACATCTCGCTCTCCACCTCCTCCTGTCAACACGGAGACCTCGACCCACGTTGCGCCCTCGCGCGCGCGCGCGCAAACTCACCTTGCTCCCCTGCATTCGCTCGCCTCGCAGCGCCGATGAAATGGCCGTCATTTCGGCATGCATGCTGAAGCCATGCTGGCGCGGACAATGCGCCGTCGCCGTCTCGTCGCCGCCGCTGGCCGTGGCCGTCGTGGCCGCCGAGAGCGGGCCGGCAAAGCCTGGCTTGACGAGATTGTGGCCGCCGGCGAGGATCTTGCCGCCCTTGATCACCACTGCCCTGTTTGCTCACAGCATGCTTCAACGTCAGCTGATTGCGTCGGGCGAAAGAGAGGGGGGAGGGGGGCAAGGGCGCAGCAAGCACGCACCCGTGTCGGAAACGCTGTGCGCTGCGCTCGGCCTGAGCCGTCGCCGCGGCGCGAATGCGGTCGGCCCGCTTGGGCGCGGGAGGCGAGAGGTGCGTGGGATTCGAGGTGTGAGGCGACATTGGGTTTTGAGTGTGTGGAGGCGCGATGAGGGGGCCGTTGGGGGAGATGAGCGTGGAGACTGGGCTGGCAAAGGAGGTGGTGGAGGCAAGGAGAGATGCGCGCGCGCGCGGCGTTGATGGGGCGCGCAGCTCGAGCGCCGTGGCTGGCAGCAGGAGCGAGTCGAGTCGCGCCGGCGCGCCTGACTCCTTCTCCACCTTGTGCCTCTCAGGCCGCACCGCGCGAGTCTCGAGTCTCGTGAATGGACGTCAAATTGCAGTCAAAGCCCCGCGCGCGGCATGCAGTGTGCGGTGGACTGACGTGCTGATCGGGCGCGCGCGTCGTGGGTGGTATGGGTAGTGTGTGAAGAAGCGACGAAGAGAGAGAGAGAGAGAGGAGACGCAGGCTGATGCCGCGGCGCTGCGTGGCGCTGAGTGTGGGATGGGAGAGGAGAGGGAAGGAATACATGAGGGGGGGATCAGGTGCCGCAACTGGGAGGGGACGGCAAGGGAACGGCGCAAGGAGCGGTCGTGATGGGCGCACGCTGGGTGCTGCGGTCGTGCTGGTATCGGTTTGGCAAATCGAGTGTCGGGGG